CTAAAAGTATTTTACGGTTTTAAATAACATACAAAAGGTTGATAAAGGTTGAAAAGCAATCGATCAATAGCAGTCACTCATATTTTTGACGAACAGCATTTCTTACATCGATTTCTGCCATTTATCGATTGCTCGTTTAAAATCGATGACTGAATCCATTTATTTAATAATAGATTTTTCACTTATCCAGATCTTGGTGTATCCATATAGACACCAGTTGAATTGTATTTGTTTATATGTTAAATAAAAATTCAGTAAACCGAGCTTTAGAAGATGTTGCTCTGTACGATCATTTAACAGTGGAGTTCGTTACAGTTACTTTCACGCAAATACCCTCGGGAAAGTTATATTTCCACCTCTTCAACTATGGGTTAAATAGTAGAAACTGTATCTAGAATAATCATTGTTATCTTAAAAAAATGTTAATGAAATATTCACACGCAAAATAACCTTATTCTTCAATGCAAAATGTTTCGGTTTTAATCCACAAAGGGGTAATAATCCGTAAAACAAATCCATCAACTATTTAAGCTCGTTTTATTTGATATTCGCGCTAGTGTTTGGTATGAAAATACTATTTTCCCGTCGTTGTTCTAACGTTTTAAATATTATACTTAAATTAATTTTTTCAGCTGTTCAAAATATTGAAATGGCTCCAAAGCACGGAAAATAGCAATGATTCTGTGAACGAAGTTATCTTACTCCAAAATGGAAGAAAGTAAACAAAATATCGTCAAAAACGCTGTTAGAACTTCCTGGGAAGGCCGTACAAAACAAAAGTTTTAGTTTGGCAATTTTTCTGCTGCTGTTCACTATTACCTCATCACTCTTGTGCACACTGGTAACAAAGACATATTTTCATTTGTCATTGAACCAAATTTCCTAACTTAGGCAGGTGTAGTGTTACAGTTCAGACTAGACCCCACGTCCGTTGACAAGGTACAGTTTCTTCCAGTCAAATGCTTGTTGCTTAAAAATTACCCTTCGGCCAGATCATTATCAACGAGTCAAGAACAAATTTTCTAGCAGTAAACAAGATTTTATTCTTGGGTTGTAACCTATTGCTGTAAGCGAGCGAAGTAGAGATGAGGCGGAAGTGAGTGAAGAGGTACACAGTTCAATGGCCGTCTACCTTGTCCGTTCTGTAAGGCCCGCTTCGTTCTTTATGTGAGATTTATGCTGAATGTTCAGTTTTATAACAATTTTTTTTTGTCTTGTCATCTTCGTCTAAAATGTAATAAATCTTCCTTCGTTACTTTCTCTCAGTCTGAGCCCGTTGTTCTGTACTTGAAGTTGGCTTCCCTTACTGATAACCAGTGGTCGAATGTACATGTTCCGTATCGAGTTTTGCGACAGGTCCAGCTGTTTTTCAATTTAACAGCTGACTCATATTGCTACAGAGTCAAAAATAAGGACGTGTTCATTTCTCGAATCTGATTCCAACAGAATTGGTCTTTGAATTCAATCGATTTCGGTTTTACAAATAGGCTTAGCTTTGCTATGATCATCAGCAGGGTAAAAGTTAATTTTCTCAAAATCGGAAAACTTAACCTGATTTTACTCTGCTTTTCCCATAGAAGGCTCTATGGTGATTATTTTAGGCTTCGATCCACAAGCAACATTCTCATACTGGCACCCAATAAGAGAAGCAATAATGCAGTATTCCAAGAAATCCATGTCTAAGAGACAGCATAATTTGTCTTTGTTGTGGTAGGATCCACCTAATTTGCATAGTGGAGTACCGACCATATAAATATGGTTGGTACCGGGAAGAGAGGGAGGAATCAAGAGATTCAACCAGAGACTCTGCCCGACTGAAACTCAGTCAACACATTCTCCAGGAACGGTCTTACCAGGAATATACAAAAGACTATATGTAAATATTGTGTACACTTTCTTGTTTCAATACATTTTGTTCTAAGTACATTTGGTGTTGCATTATTATTCCATGCATTAGTCAAGTTTCAACAGTCTTATTTACACTATTCCTATTCGGACTATTATACATTACTTACATTATTCGGACTATTGTCCTCATCTTTGTCGCCATATTTATTACAACGTTATGGCCGTTGTACGCTCCGGCCTTCAGGTGGTTGGAATATCGAACAGAACCTTTTATTTCGCTCACTGGTAGACTGTTCTTATTTCCACGTGCCATGTTTAATGGATATCAGTTATCAGTTATCTCCTGTTAATTTCTATCTGAAAGTTCTCCACTGCCTTAACCGGGTATTGAACTCACAATCTTTGGGTTCTGTCACTAGATCTAACACCTTTATCCACTGTGCCCTATGTCCTTGGGTATCAATTTCTGGGTATTATAAACCTTATCTTCAGCAACCATTTTTACCAGTGCTCATATTGTAATTTTGCTGTTATCATTTCATGTTTTTACCAAAGCTCATATTGCAATTTTTGTTGTTATTATCGCTTTCCTCTGGTACTCCTTATTACTGGTTCCCATATTGTATTTATTTCTATGCTTGGTCGGCTCAGGAGATTTTTGTGGCCTAGAATATGTGTTGATTCTCAAGTTTACGAATTTTCCAATGGTGTTCCTTGTCTATGATCTCAACCTGATCCCACAGAGCACTTGTAAAAATGGTTGCTATAAATATAGAAATAGACAGATATCGGACTATTGTGCTCTTATTTGTTGTTGTTTCGGCCGTTGTGTCATCCGGCCTTCCTATGGTGCATATCGATCTTGGTAACCTCTTTCTAAAGTATTACCTGAAATGCCGGAAGCATTTAATATATTTCTTCGTCTTCTTCTATATGTTTGTCCCTTCTGGAAGTTGGCGAATATCATCCTCCACAATTTCCTGTCCTTTGTAGCTCTTAATAACTTATCTTTCTGCCATCTTCCCCAAACCCAGATGCGTGTTGCTTTCAATCTGTCTTTTTTACATTCAATCTGTTCTGTGAAAATCAAATTTTTCAAGCCCTCTTTTCTCATGCGCCCCAGAAAATGCAACTGTCTCTTCCTGATGTTAATTATAAATGTACTTATTGTTGCTATTGTCTCTAGAACTTCGTTGTTGCTCATATGTTCGTTTCATGGTATCCTCAGCATCCTTCTGTAGAGCAACATTTCTGTTGCTTCAAGTCTATTCTTCACCTGTGACAAGATTGTCCAGAATTCTCTGTCATAGTGGAAAACTGTTACTACATAACTGTTCATTAATTATTTTTTGTTTGGTTGTAAAGATATTTGTCTGTTTGCTAATACTTTGCTCAGCCTTTAGAAGTCATTTTTCTCTATCCAAAAGATTTATTGAAGCTTTCTTTCTGCGTCTACTTTCAAAACTGTGTCATCTGCATGACTTATGTTGTTAAGCTTGTGGTCGCTGATAATGATTCCTGGTAGGGCTTCTAATCTCAGAATGGCATCGCAATGCAGATTCAAAAGGTAAGGTCGGAAGACGCATCCATGTTTTACACCCCTTTTTATTTTTGTATATTTACCGAACTCATTTCCTATTTGCATGCAGGTGGTTTACTGGCAGTAGATGTTCTGGATTATTCGAATATCCTTTCCGCATAAGTCAAGTTTAGCAAGCAGTTCCAGCAATTCTTTTTGACGTATTTTATCAAACGCTTTTGAATAATCTATAAAACACAGGTATAGATCCTTTTGCATTCGTATTGCGCTTTCTGGTATCATCCTGAGCATAAATATAACATTCCTTGTTCTCGTGTCTTTAACGAATTACACTTTTCTTGTCCTACTTCCGGTCTGATTCTGCTGCATGCTCTATTTATCAAGATTCGGATAAGTTTTATTACATAACTCATTAGAATGATTGTCCGATGGAGTTCGGATTCGTTTGCAATTGCTTTCTAACGTAGAGTTATCAATATAGATCTACTTAGGTCTCCGGGTATATCACCATTGTTATATATTTCATCTATTATGTCTGTTAACTTGTCATTGCTGAAATCGTCTAAGGCTGTAAGCGTCTCTATTACAATTCCATATGGGATTCTGTTGCCTTGTATCTGTTCAATTTGACCAGTGCTGATAGCACTTCAGATTTTAATATTTCAGCTCTTTCGATATCTCTCTGTATTGACGATTGCCTTGATTTGTCAAGGAGGATTTCTCCGATGTATTCATTCCATCTCTGAAGTATTTTTTTCTTTCTCTAATCTCATTGTCTCGTCTTTGGATATAAAGCTTCCATGTTCGTATTCGTTTTGGGCGTTCTTGAAACCATGGCGACTACCTGACCATTCACCGTGCATCATTTAACCCATCTTTCTACGCATTCATTGCGTGATCAGAGTCCGAATTTGTCAATGCTCTCAATTATTTCTCTGTGCGTTAATGTTCATTTTTAACCGCCACACATATGGATATTTGTAACTAATTTCGTTAACTCTATCTATCTATCTATCTATCTATCTATCTATCTATCTATCTATCTATCTATCTATCTATCTATCTATCTCATTCTGTTCATATCTATCTATCTCTCTATCTATCTATCTCATTCTGTTCATATCTATCTATCTATCTATCTATCTATCTATCTATCTATCTATCTATCTATCTCATTCTGTTCATATCTATCTATCTATCTATCTATCTATCTATCTATCTAACGACAGCATCATTTTAAAACACCGGTTCTCGTACGATCACCGAAGTTAAGCAACGTTGAGCCTGATTAAACTGCTTGGGAATACCAAGTGTAAACTTGGATGTGCGGGTGGTGTAACGAATAATGGTTCGAAATTGCTAAACGGAAGCACAAGTTTCAATTTCCGTTGGGTTTGTTATATTCATTTACAAACAAGTATCATTGGGAAGGTATAAATCCACCGATTCTCTCCCTAACTATGGATTAATTAGTAAAAATTCTATCACTAAAGATTTTATTATATAAAAAAATTCCAAAAATATGTCTGGCTTTAAATAACCGGCGAAGGATTTATAAGCCATATATAACGAATCTATCTATCTATGTCGATCTTGAAATATATCTATCTGTATGTATATCTATGTCACTCATCAAATCTATCTATCTATCTATCTATCTATCTATCTATCTATCTTACATTCTTCAAATTCATCTATTTATCGATCTATATCACTCTTCAAATCTATCTATCTATCTAAGATTCTTCAAATTTATCTATTTATCGATCTACATCACTCTTCAAATCTATCTATCTATCTATCTATCTATCTATTTCTGTCGCTCTCCAAATCTATCTATCTATCTATCTATCTATCTATCTATCTATCTATCTATCTATCTAACATTCTTCAAATTTATCTATTTATCGATCTATATCACTCTTCAAATCTATCTATCTATCTATCTATCTATCTATCTATCTATCTATCTATCTATTTCTGTCGCTCTCCAAATCTATCTATCTATCTATCTATCTGCAGTTGTCTATCCAACGCATTTTACAGAATGTAACCAATTTTGACATTTCCATAATGTGATCTTCCTATCATTTTCTGAAGCGTATAAACACTTTCCGTTGACATTATATGCGTAACTACACAGACTAGTACGTGACTATACATGCAAATCTAAAGTCACGTTTTAGTGTGTGCAGTTACGCCCCTATCCTCACTGCTACGTGTATTTGATACTTGTAAACATCTCTTGTGAAAATCATAACTTCATTCAGCACTAATCTGATATATAAGCGCTTCGTTGATATAAAATCATTAACGATAATTACCGAGTAACTTGTGGCCGAAAAACGGGAACTTCTTGAAAGTCGTCAGAGCTTCTCTAATCTTATCTCCTTACACAAATCATTTAATCTTTATATGACATATTGCCTAATGTGTATTTAAGCATCTTTCACAGTTTGCGGAACCGTATAAATTTTGGACTCCATCTGTGCATACATGAATACAGACACTAAATAACATGATCATGTATACAAAGATAAATGTATATAAATTTTTATTTGCATCTTTCTTTCTTTCTACACTCTAGCGACATTGTCATACATACTTTCTTTCTTTCTTTCTTTTTTCTTTCTTTCTACACTCTAGCGACATTGTCATACATACTTTCTTTCTTTCTTTCTTTTTTTCTTTCTTTCTACACTCTAGCGACATTCTCATACTTTCTTTCTTTCTTTCTTTCTTTCTTTCTTTCTTTCTTTTATTTCTGTCCAGTCTTTCTGTTCTTTCTTTCTTTTTGATAATACTATCCATTCTTTCTGTTTCTTTTTCTTTCTTGCTTTCTTTCTTTTTTGTTCTTTTGTTTATTTCTTTCTTTTTCCTATTGATATTTCTATCGATTTTTTTATGTTCTTTCTTATATTTTTATGCATACTCTGTTCTTCTTTTTGATATTTCTATCCATTTTTTTCTCTTCTTTCTTTTTTCTTTCTTTCTTATTGATATTTCACTTGATTTTCTTTTTGATATTCTATCCATTTGTTTTGTTCTTTCTTCCTTGCTTGTTTGTTTGTCTCTTTCTTTCTTTCTTTCTTTCTTTCTTTCTTTCTTTCTTATATTTTCATATTCATTCTGTTTCTTGTGTACCTTTTCTTATTTCTTCCTTTCTTTTTGATGCTTCTATCTTATATTTCTTTCTATCTATCTGACAATATGTATAAAAATGATTCTGGGAAATATTGCCACATTCTCATGGGCAGCCGCGCACGCGCGCACACCCACAGACACACACACAGAGACACCCACGCACACACTCACTAACACACACACATTCACACACGCACACACTCACTACACACACACACATCACACACACACACACACATTCACACACACACATTCCACACACACACACACACCACCACACACATCCACACACACCACCACACACACACACATTCACACACACACACACACACACACACATCCACACACACACACCCACCAACACACACACACACACACACACACACACACACACACACACACACACTCACTAACACACACACATTCACACACACACACACTCACTAACACACACACATTCACACACACACACATTCACACACACACATTCACACACACACACACACACTAACACACACACATTCACACACACACACACACACACACACACACACACACACACACACACATTCACACACACACATTCACACACACACATTCACACACACACATATATGTATGTGTGTGTGTATGTATGTATGCACTTATGTGTGTGTGTGTGAGGAGATAGAAAACAACGTTTATTTCTTGATGTTCTTTACATTCTGTCTTTCTTTTCTTTCTTTATTTCATTCTTTAATGCACGCTTGGAGCAAATTTATGTAAATGCATGTTCGACGATCGATGTGATTTGGTCGAAAATTTTCTCAAATCACTTCCTATTATCTAGTTACACGACTTTCTACTTACTACTATGATTTCACTTAAAATTCTGATATATAATTATAAAGAAAATATGGATAGAAATGGTGCTGTGAAACATTTTCACTTTCGCATGGGTACACACACACAAATATATAGATAAATATATATATATATATATATATATATATATATATATAAACACACACACACACATATATATATATATATATATATATATATATATTAAAAATTCCTGTAGATAGTGAAATCAATTCCGTATGCTGACTTGTAATGTCACACGAAAAGCCATCATGAGACAACAGTCTGATGAACGTTTAAAGCGTGAAACTTCACTATTGATTTCATTTCAGTTTTCCTCTATTTTTTATACAATACACACAGAGTCACACAGACAGTCAGACAGACAGACAGAAACTCACACGCACACTCATGCACACATACATATATGCGTATATGGGAAGTAAGTGAGATTGAAAAAGCATGTATTTTACACCGTTGTGTTCAAACCTAGTGAGACTTCCGATGTATGTATCTATGTATCTATCTATCTGTATATATATATATATATATATATATATATATATATATATATATATATATATGAGAGTTCTAATATGTATATATAATTAAGTATATATATATATTAGATGTTCATAAGTTTCTTAAATATTATACCAAAATATATTATGATGGCAATCTTGATATGTACATAGATTCGACGGCCCCCGGGGCCAGTAAGTTAGCTTAATACCAACTTCAAAGAAATTAGACCGAACTCTGTCTTATTCGTCATATTTTCCTTACTTCAGATATTTATCTCGATGCCAGCGGTGAAGAATGCAATTATTCATTTTGTTGGAATTCTACACCTTTGACATCTTTTGAATTCCTGAAGAGATTAATCGTGGCATTGGACATCCTCTTGTACATCCACCTGGTCCGAGTGACTTTTCCTGATCTTGTCGTTCAAAAATTAAACACCAGCCAATTTTGCCTTACATCACTCTTTTATATACTGGCTTGATAAATGTTTAAATGTCTTCAGTCAGAAATTACTGTATATGATTTACGTTACATTGATTTCCTGTGAAGGCCAATCCAAGATGTTTTACCCAGAAATCATGAATTTACTATATACACGTTTCGAGTGCAGGTCGATTCAAGGTGAGTGAAACCAAATTAATTTAACAAGCCACAATATGGTTTCCGTTCTCCATTGGCAACGTTCCTGCTTTGCACTTTCATTTCAGTCTTTACGAAACTTAACTGCTGTCGACATATATCGAGATTCTTGACAAAATCCAAAGAATAAACCTGACCTGACATCTCGACTTTAGTCTTTCCCCATCGCAGTGACGTGGTTTCCCCATGTCTTTTTTTTAATAAATAATTTTTTTTTCTAATGAGCTCATCCCACTTGGTTCCTCGACTGCATGAATTTGTTTGCGGTCAAGTGGTCTACCGACGCGAAGATGAGTGATTCTATAGAATTTTTTGTTAGGTTTACTGGTAGGAAAGCTGGTTAAAAATTTGTCGTGCCAGATATCTTTTCTCGTTTGAATCTATCATATATATTGATAAGTTTACCATTCGTCTGTTCATCGAATATTGCTGCCATGTCTGATATGAAATTCTTGCTATATATTTTGAGATTCTCGACAAAATCCCAAGAAGGGACTCTAATGTAATCGGTCACTTCCGCATCGTCGTGTCGTGTTTTTTTTCTATAAATACTATCATAGCAATTTCCCCCTCTCGTTGGTACCTTGACCACATGAATTTAGACGTTAGAATGGCACGGTAGAGTAATGGATAGCGGCTCGGATTGAGGAATCAGAGAGCTGAGATCAAATTCCAGTCAAATCCATTACATTCACTTACGTTCTAATATCAATGGGAAAGGTATGAATCCTCTTCTCCCCAGTTATAGGTAAATATCAGGACAGACCGTGTTCTATAGCCTTGGGATGGCAACTGCTCTACCGCAGGAAGAAATGGCAACCTACTGCGGGAAAAATCTGCTTCTTCAGTCATGTATCGAAAAATACATGATCGCTTAAGCGTGTATCACGTATGGCACATAACTGAACGACTAGAATGACAAATAGACATATATTCGTTTACTGGGGAAATAGCCAGACATAACTGTAAATTCTATTCTAAAAGTTTCTTTTCTCGCCTGTGGAACTCTTTTCCGTCTTCTTGCTTTCCTGGGACCTACGATCTTCTAAAGTTTAAATGCAACATCAATCACCATCTTCTGTATTCCTGAGTCTTGTTCTTTTATTAACTTTTGTCCTTATTAAAGTCTTCTCATTCTCTTTCACTCCCAGTAACACCTTGTGCCTTGCTTGGGGTGAAATGTTTAAAAAAAGTGTAAATCAAGATTCCCACATATAAACTAAAAGGAAGCGACGTACCTTGTAATTGAAAATTCATGTATTCAAGACTGTTGTGTTCGAACCTATGTAAAATCCAGGATTTAGATTCTGATTGTCGAGAAAGAGTTCCCTTCTACATTTGACACAATATATATCTCATAACATTCACTCCTGCGCGCTTAAGCTTATGTAAAAAGAAGCAGGTTTATTCAATATTGGTCGCTTACTTGAGAAATTACTGTTGTTGTAGCTTACTCCTCATCCTAGTCCCAATTTACCCCATACGTATGAAGGTGACTTGCCTGTTTTATATCTTGGGTATAGCCTAGTTCATACTATAACCACCTATACCAGTTTACACCCACTTTTACTATTAGTAAAAACAACTGTTTTTTTTTCTTAACTAGTATGATGTTATATTGATTTTCTAAGCGTAGCTTAGATGTGGCACATGGCCGAAATTATAGGACACTCAGTGAGGATCGAACATGCTTGCTAACAATTACACCGCACCGAGATGCCCAACTAGTGTGTTATAAGATGGTTCCAGTGTACGAACTTCTAATGACAGCTGATAAGAACTCACTTAACAATGATAAGTTATCTATGGTTCAATCTATGGTTTAATCTATGGTTCAATCTATGGTTCGATCGCAAAGTGATCGCTCGTTAGTCATTTCAAATTGATTGATTCATTTTCTACGGCTTATCAAATCTTTGCAGGTTATTTAACGCCAGAAAAGAGCTTTTTAACCCATTAGCTGCCATGAGCCGCATTTGAGGATCTGTTAAAATTAAACTCACTACATGTTATTCCTTGTATTTACATTGAATTGCTTACATACATTGCATTTGCAGAGGTATATTTTACAACATTTAGCCTTTAAAGTTTTTATTATTAGCCGTAAGAAGAAACTTTCTATCATAATTTTACATTTCATGAGTAGAAAAATAATGACAATTTTGAAAAGTATTTTTTATTATTTCTAATCAATATTATTTTTTGATGTTTTATACACATATATATTTGATGTTCTAGTTTCTATAAAGTTTCAAAGTACCAGCTATTCGAAGAAAACTTTAATATTGTATGTTGTTTTAACTCCTAAGACACCTGTCTGGGCCCAAAATGCGCATTTAAAAAATTTGGCAGTTAATGCGTTAAATTGTAAAATTTTTTTTAGATCATAATGGTTTAGTGATACAAGACGTACTAATTGTTGTAACCTAGAAAGGGTTACTGAGTGAGGAATAACCAACATGAAGGTTTGAAATGGAATGGTAATCTTTATAACATCAACAAAATACAATACTCGCCAGTGGCGCGAAGAAGGTAAATCACTGCAAGTGATGGACTACTTAGACAGTATGTTATCCCCCACCCAACTTACACAACTTAAATAGTGTCCAACGTATTTATGAGGATTGGGACATATCCATTAGCGTTC